CCCCCCCCATCCAGCCTGAGCCTGCAGGGATGCATCCCAAGGCCAGTTGCCATTTGCCTGCCTTGCTTTGGGCACCCTGCCAGTGGGCACATATAAATAGCCGTCTCCCAAAGCCGGAGCCGATCCCGAACATTGTGCCCTCTACCCTCACCGCGGCCACACCAAAAAAGGCAGCTCATCAGGGTGGCCCCGGGATGAGGCCACCCCAGGAGCGTCGCCAGCCACAGCATCCCATCCTGCCTCCAGAGCATCGCCTGTATCTGAATTGCCAAGGGTTCATGCTAAACTTTGCCGGGCTTGAGCAAAATTGCATTACAAAGTCTCCGCCACACTTGAGAGCAGAGCGTGCCCTGGCCGGTGGGAGTTAATTGGCTTGACCAGGATAAACATATCAAGGCTGATTAATTCAAGCAGGCTTCCCTGGGCTCTGTAAACAGGCTAAAAGTCATCCAAGCACCCTTGTAACATCAGCTAGGGTAGAGAATCAGAGGGGGTTTTCCCTTTGCGTGTGTGCAAAGGGGCCGAGCACGGGGTTTTGCAGAAATTGCCCTTTCCAATGATATCTTCCCCGAGAGAAACCCAAAAGTGGGATCCTGCTGTTGAGCACAGCCCTGTGGGACAACTGCTAACGATAACGTAGCCAGTTCTCCTTAATAAGCACATGGGGAGGCTGAGGAGGAAGAGGAGGAGAACAGCCGTGTTCCCAGCCAGAGGGAAAACTAAAATAGCTGGAATGGAAGGAATAACCCCAAAAAGGGGAAATACAGCCCGAGGGCTTTGGCTTCACCAACCCACCCAGGTCCTTGCCTGGGGAAAAGCGGCACATTCTGGTATGAACTCCAGCAGATCCTTATGTAAAAGCGAGCAGCACATGCACACAAAATCCTCAGGAAATATAACAGCCTGGTGTATAGGAATGATTTATCGGCACGGCTTTTTGGCTGCAATCCATATATAACCCATAGCGGCTGCGGCAGGATTATCGAAGCAATCAGTCTCGCATCTAATTCAGCAAGGAGAGGGATATTAAAATGAAAAGAGGTCTGTGAAACCCTGGCAGCAGCTCTCCCTCTCGCTCAACGTCCACGTGGCTCAGTGGAAACGAATGGGAGCAAAATCGGCCCCCACGACAGTGAAGTGATTTTTACAGCCCCCTCCTGCCGCCCCAGCTCTGCTGGGAGCGTGTGGTCCCTGCCTGGTCCCTGCTGGAATGCAGCCACCTCCAGATGGGAACACACCAACCGACTTGGGGGGGGCACAGAGGATGACACCTTGCAGCCAGCACTGGCTGCACAGGTTTAAATCAGAGCGTATGGACGCATCAGCCTGTCCTTCCCTCCCTGGAGCTGTTTCTCTACCCAAGGGCAGGGCGAGCGATGGGACGGTGCCCACAGCTCCCACTGGCTGCCACGCACTCGCCTTCCCCGTGCACGCTTCTTCCCTCCGGCAAGGCCAGACACGGTGTCAGGGTCAGACCCTCCCAAGGGAGTCAGACTTGGTGGCAGCTCCAGCAGCAACTCCTCCATCCAGCCTTCCACAGGGATCAGCTCACGCACTGCAGAAAAACCTGTTCATAACAAAATTGAACACAAACCACCTAAAACAAGGCTAATTTTACTCGCAGAGGATCGTCCCCCCACTACCACTGAAGGCCTGCAGTTAAAAGTTAACTGGGGCCAGCGCGCGAGGCAGTTACGGGCTCTCACTGGGCAGAGTCCAGTGGCTATTTTGCTTTCTCTGGTCACTGTCAGCGGTGGAAGTGGCAGTGCCAAGAGCGGTGTCATCTGCAGCAATGGGGGCATCAATCACAGTTTCCCTTCCTACAGGAGAGCGCAGACCTTGCCAGAAATATATTAGTCACTGTAGTATACAAAGACCATATGCATCCCTGCCTGACTTTTAATGGAAAAAAATCTCTCAGCAGCTTCTCTAGAAGTCAGAGGACACCCAAAATAATGAGATACTGGAAACAGGCACCCAGCCCCCATCCATGTCCGGTCCCCATGCCCCAGCAGCGAAGCTTTTCATTGCCCCTGGGGCAAACAGAAAAACCTCCTCTGCTGCCTAGGCCATCCAACACAGGGTGGAAAGAATTGGGGAAAAAATATAAAGTTGGGCTGGTAGCACTGTAACAGCATGAAATCCCGTGGCAATAAGAATCCAAAAACATCTTTAACAAGATTTTTTAACAATCTTGATGATACCACCTAATGCTGCTTAAGCAATATATAATGAGCATCTCAAAACAAGAGCGTAAGCTCCAGACCTGGCATTGAGCATGGGCCGGGTTGAGCTCAGGGCACCATCATCACCTCATCCAGCACCGCCGAGCGGCTCCTGGCTCTCCTGGAAACAACAGCTCCAGCCCGCAATGCCGAGAGGAGAGCGGCTCTGCACTTTGTGAACGCCACTTAAAAGACATTAGGGATGAGTTGAAAGCAAAGCCTCCGCCAAATTACCACCCCAATCTGATAACAGATGCCTTCCCCGGAATGGCACTGGTCAATCAGACACCCCTCGCAGCACTCCCAGGGATGGGCTCTTGGGTTTTGTTGGCTGTTTTTCCCAAAACAAATTGCTCACAGAGAGGGGCCAGGCAAGCGATGGGGCTCCTTCCCCTGGGAGAGCAGCTGCCTCTCTGGTCAAGGGCCACAAAGGCAGCTCCAGCCACCCGGCCACCACACATCCCCTCCCCAGTGCGGTCCCCCGGCCCTGGGGACAACCGGTCCCATCCCCAGGGATGGTTTCTGGTCCTGTAGCAACGCAGAGCTGTGCGGTCAACCCATGGCTCCATCGCACCAGCTTCCTGCAGTCATCCCGCTGCTGCTTTTGGTCTTCACCGTAACCTTCATGCTCCTGATGCTCCGTACCATGCACTTGGCTGCAGGGCTGCGTCCCACCTCCTAACCACGCTCAGTCACTCGCAGCAACCCAGCCTGTGGCTTCTCCTAATGAGACCTGACCCCGTACACGGTTGCTCCACCAGCTCATCCCCTCCATCTTCTCCTGGCCTCTCGTTTGTCCCTTGACCTTAACCCCCCCCCTCCTTTTCCCCACCCCACGGCCTAACTCTTCCCTGTTCCCCTGTACCGAGCCCTCGCCTCCCCGGGCAGCAGCCCTGCAGGGTCTGCGGGACGCCCGGTGTCGCGGGGGTGGCCAGCACCCTGTCACATCCCCACGCCTGGGAGCTGCCGGCCCATCGGGTGCCACCGGCACATGTCGGGACGGGGCGGCGCGGGG